TTGGCTTCCAATTTCCTGTGGTTCCTCATAAGTAACCCCGTCCACCTCCAAAACTGTGATGGAGTTGTTCCTCCTATTAGAATTGGCGACCCTGTGGAAGAATTTAGTGCATTTATCCCCCTCTTTCAACCAAGTAACTCTAGATTTCTGTCGCCAATTAATCTCCACCATCTCCACCATCCTCTCCATCTCTTCCTTTAATCCTCTATGTCTCTCCTTCTCCTCCCCGGTCAACCCCTGACTCTCCTCCCGCCTATCCAATTCCTCTATCTCTGACAGACATTGATTTTTACTGCAGTTAACATTGCCCACAACTTCCTCATTCCATTTCTTTAAGTCCCCTTTCAGCGCCTTTAGCTTCTGATCCAATACAAAAAAAGGAGACCTACTGACTTCATAGGAAGTCCACCACTTCTGTACTCGCTCCTTGAAACCTTCTACTTTCAACCACATCTTCTCAAACCTGAAAGGTCTTCTTCCACCACCCCTTCTATTCCCCGATAACATAATAGAAAAATGATCCGAGTACACCCTCCCCAATCTTCTCTGAGTGACATCTGAATATTTAGACTCCCACTCCCCACAAATCAAGAACCTATCAATACGAGACAAAACGGGTCGATCCCGATTAGATGACCAGGTAAAATCTCCCCCAATCATGGGTAAATCCACCAACAAATTCTCCCTAATAAAATCTGAGAACTCCTCCATTGCCCTAGTTAGTCTCCCACCACTCGACCTCTCCGAAAGAAATCGAATCACATTGAAATCACCCCCAATACATGTAGGGAGATTCCACCAAGCCCTCATTCCAGCCAGTTCATCCCACAAGCCCACTCTACTGTCATCAAAATTAGGCCCATAAACTCCTGCGAACATCCACTGAAATCCATCCTCACAATTTTTGAAAGAAATCGATATAGAGAAGTATATGGAGAGCATATAGAGACCACGAGTTAACATGGCAATAAACAAGAAGACAACAAGATTGCTGATTTTAAGATCCATGGCTGCATTAAAATCCCCAACAAGATGTTTATTACTCATGCATTAAAATTACACAGACATTTCATGTCGACTTATCAACTAAAGATAGATGTGTTTAGGGCCGACAATTTCTACACTACTTGAACATTTGACAACTTTTTCTTCCATTGTAGACATCAATTTGCCAATTAATTCTAGGTTTACCTGGTTGGATGACCACTTTATTCTTATGATAAACAGAACATACACAGCCAAAAAGATCCAATGAACTTCAATTACATTCAAGTGGACGGAAATATCATTTTCTAATTCATACTGTGAAAGGAGCTCATAATCATTGAAAAAGTTCAACCCAAAAATAACCATTTTGCAATCAAACACGAATGTAGCCTTTTAAACCTCAATAATAAGTCCTATTATAACACACCTTTGATGCTTTATATTATATATACAAGGGAGATATTCAGGTCTGAGAGCTTAAGTATCTGTCGAAAGACAATTCAATTTGATGCATCAGAAAAATTAAATGATAAAACATATCCGTCCACAGTGTAACTTACCATATTTGATAGTTTTTAGAGTTTAGTCTGGCAAGTTCCCCCACAAAATCCAATTCGTCATGCAAATCAACATGAAGTGTCTCAAGTATAAGACGCCTGAACTGCCATACCTGAAATAGAAGAATGCAAGTTCTTTATATCCACGTGCCAAGGGGATCCAAGAATAAATTTTGAAGTCAGAAATAGTCAGTTCATTGTACAGTTAAAAATATGTATATATATATTCCTCTCTATATCTAAGGTTTTAGTGATGGGATATTCCTTGCAGTGCCAATTAATATAATGGAGAGGGTGTGGTACATGAAGCTTCCCGAACTTTATTTTCTCATCTAATCAAATATACATTTAAAGACAAAGAACGAATATATATTCAATTAATGTTCAAAGGATGTGTAAAGATGAAGTCAGAACCTCTATATCAACATCTTGAATTCTGCAGCACATAATGTTATAGGAACCTTCAGCATTTTTAACTAAAATCTAAATTAACAAAAAGTTTGATCTTAAACTAGTTTTGCATTAATGCTCTCTAAGTTGCACTTGCACTGTTAGAACAAGAGGATTTGAAAATAAAAAATAAAAAAAATAAAATCACTTAGTCATTGGGTATGTATTCATGGTGTCCCAAAATCCCGTTAACTCCACGATTTATAATAACACACTACAACTCTTAAACCTTCACCGGGGAAATATATAGATACCATCAGTGAAGAACAAAAAAGGGAGGAAAGTATTCACATATCAGGATTGTTAAAATTATTACTCTCGGTTTGGGGGGGGGGGGGGGGGGGGGGAAAAAAAAAAAAAAAA